TAACAACAGAAATGTCAAACCAAATAACTTTGTAAGGCCAAATAATCCCTCACCGATGAATAATAATATTATCCACAGCCAATTAATAGAAATAGACCAGTCATAAAATGTTACCATTGTAATGGAAATCATTATGGTGCTCAGTGTAGAAATGAACCAAGACTTAGTTATGAAAATAATAGCAATACCAATCGCACCCCTGATCGAAATAGTTTTACACGGTCACCGACAAATTATGACACACAATTAGTAGCATGTACATATTACAACAGTAACAAAACATATTAATATAATCGATTGTTATACATAACGTTACGACGAAAATATAAGTAATTACTCGAGAAACGCACACGCGTCTAACGAGGAACGCGGATAATTGTATAATTCTGATAAACCAGATAATCGCAGAATAGATGCAGGATGCATCTACATAATAAAAGCGATAAAAAATAACCGTAAAATATTATTTATACCTACATATCACCCGCTATCTACCTAAGTCTACTATCTACAAACTAAGTTTACTAATAGACACGGGGAACCAGGTAAATGTGTTTAAAGTAAATTGTCTACCTACTCGTACAATTAACCATAATAGATGAAACTCAAAAAATAATAATAATTTACGGTGAATCGAACGAAGAAACCTTACATAATTTATACTTACATTAATAATACAAAAAGAATTAAACGAGAAAATGTAATGACACTGAATTTCATATCGCGCGAGCACTGTTCCCATACCGGAAAACTGTATTTTAGTCACAATTTTTTTTGTCAACAATCCAAGTAGTAGCGGTAGATGTGTCCAATAACAATAATTATTATTTAAAAAACCAAGGGGGGGGGGGTGCAAAATTGTATTTATCTATTATTATTACAATTATATACAATAAATTGTTATATTGGAGTTATATTAAATTTCGAAGTAACAATGCAAAGAAACCTAATAGCAAACAGGAAAGAAATAACCAATACTTGAAAAATTGTATGAGTGAGTACATTTTAACACACTTAATCGTACATTTTTAAACATTTTTAACTTTAAAGCTTACAGTTCTACGCCTGTAAAATTGAGAACGAAAATGTGATCTTTAAACGGGAACCTCATTAAAATACTCATGTTAAAAACACACCAGTAAAAGAAAAAACGGAAAGGCAATCAACTTGTTACCCTGTACCATAGCCGTCCTGAGTACCTTCACCCCACTCCCACATACGACTTGTACAATACATTATTCGAACTAGTGTTATATTAAAATAAATAATCATTTACATATTTTACTGTTGAAATTTTGACCTTAAACTATTTATTTTAAAAATACTATCATCTGGATCTAAGGTGGGGAGCTCAAGCAACATTGTTTTAATGAAAATGATACATTTTCACCTGTAATACTGGGTACCTATATATATAGAATTAACCCTGTTTTATTTGAATAATAATGAGATTAAGCTTAACTTTCTTAGTACCATCTTAAAACCAATAATGCCCTCCGCTTGCTTAAAATGTAAAATACGTACGCGCACGTAATACGACTTGACGTCTTGACAAGCTCTAAAATGTGTAAACAAGGAAGCCGTATTATGTAGCTTAGGGAGATGATGATGGCCGACAACGGGCATTGGTCCAAATCCTGCTGGCTGTCAATTATTATCGGATTATGGAAATATCGAAAAGAGGTGAAAAAAAGAAAGTGCTAACATATTTCATGTAGTAATAGGCACATGTTGCTTCTGAATTAGTTTCACCAGTTTTTTGCACGTGTTTGAATACAAACAGAAATGTAATATAAAATTAATAACATATTTTATTTCGTTGAAAATTATAACACACGAAATTATTGAGTCACCATTCAAATTTAAAAGGCCTCAAAGGACAAAGATTGTTCCACTGTCACTAATTTTCGGAAGTTGGTAAGAAAAAAAATTGTTTCCTAAAAGGTGATGATAAATATTGTCCATCAACAGATTAGTATATGTATCAGGATCTTGATATAGGAAATCATGAGAAAATACAAATCAATTTATCACGCTAATAAATGTACATTTAAACCTATTACTAGCTGGTCCCGTGCACTTCGTTGCCAATTAAAAATGCCAACTCTATATGAGACTCGCTTGTGATAATGCGAGCAGTATATTATCAGGTAGGTTTTAGGACCCCAATTGACGCTTACTCTCTATTAATAATATATTTTATTTTTATTTATTTTTATTTTGATTGCGGGCACGCTGATGAGCGACTAAAGAGAAACTCAGCCACCTTGGTAGGCAATGTGTGAAAATTCAATTTGATGCATGCTCATGCCTGATCTGCCCGATTAACCACTGGCAACAATAAACAAACAAAAACGCAAGTAAGTGGATGTCACTCTGCTGTACATTAGGTGTCTAGGAAGGCTAGGTAATGAATGGTAATCAATTTGAATACAATTATATTATGATATGACATTGTGTACGAAAAACGACTCTGAGTGGTGACGGTATGTCAGTCTAGATATAGGATATTTTATATGGCTGTAATACGATTGAGAACGTTCGACCTTTTTAGCATACGATTGAGATCACTCGAAATGGAACAATGAAATAACTGCTGACCCAAAAAAACAGTACTATTGAGAACGAAATTAAGTGCAACGTTGCCGAACTATATTCAAGTCAAAATAAAAATGAAATAAAACATTGAATAAAATAATTAAAAATTATTAAAAAAATAATTTACAATTCCCCTATATAGATTTCCCAGATGCGTTAAATATTTTATTAATCCTTAGCTCATAGAAAATTAGTATTTTATTGAATAATAATTTAATTAAAAATTAAAATATTGTAATATCATAATATCATATGAATTTATTTGTGTATTTATTTATTTGTCAGTAGCCATCCGGTTTATAAGCTTTTGGGGGTGCGGGGGCGAAGCTCCTGCGGGTTAGTGTGACTTATACAATTCTAGCCCCCCTAAAAAATTGACCCTGGTTGCGCCTATGAGCGAATGTCACATAGACAGTGTGTGAGCAGTGCTAAGAGTCATATATATTTATATAGGCTATAGCTATAGCCGATTTTTATATGGCAACGTTTGGCAACGTTGCTCGGAAAAATAAAAACTGAGCGTTCTCAATCGTAATAGTCAAAAGGGTCTAAAAAAGGTATCGCCAATAATGACCGTTCTCAATCGTATTCCTGCCTTTTATATTGTTATTATACTTATTATTAATATGGTACCCGATAAGTTGAATTCATTTTATTCTTAAATTATCAGTGATGCTGGAAAAAATATTAAATTTGCCTATGTAATTGGGCTGTTTTGGAACCGAATTAAATGATAAACGTTATTCTTTGTGTTAATATGCAATTTTGTCTGAATTTTAACTTAAAATGTCGGTAAAAAATAACTGCAGTATTTATATACTTTTTAAATTTTTTTGTTACGGGAAAACCTACTTCAGTGGAAACTTTTTTTTAATTTCCAATCTTTAGCTATGAAAGTTGAAAATTGTATACATTTTTAACTAGGGAATCATTTTCGATTTTCAATTTGATAAATATTGTCAACATTTGAACTTTAATAAATGCTTATGAAAAAAAATCATGCTTACGTATTTTTAATATTTTTCAATTGATATTGTAACAATATATCAAGGGTCTTGTATTAAATTTTCTTGCGTTTTAACCTAACTAATAACATTTTATTGACATTTAAAGAAAAAAAATTTAAAAAAATGAAAATTGAAAATGTCCGTTAAAACGAGTCAAAATATTTTGAAAAATGTATCAAGTATATGAATTGATAAAATAAACATGTGCTATAAATTTTTTAGCCAAGTTAAGTTAATTTAAGTTATTTTCTCAAATTTACACAAACTATTTCTTATAAGTAGTTATTAATTATTACAAGAAACATTGTAGAAAGTTTCAATACAAGACTGTAAATCAGAAATTTTATCATTGATAAGTATGTTTTATTTAACTCATGCATATTTTATATATTTTTATTTTATTTTATATTCTCAGTCGTTTGGTCCCTAAATAAATGATGAACTTTTAACTAACATACCAACCACACAAAATCGTGACAAATTGAAAGTTATTTTGTTCTTAAATGTGTACGAAATTTTCAATTTAAATAGCCAAGGATCAAACCTTTACCCTGGGCATGAAACTGATATTATAAAAATAATTTTAACATTGGATATTGGATATGTGGATTTGGATATTAAAAAATCGAATTTGACAAAAACTGGTTTGCGTAAAAATTTCTATTTTTCCTTTATTTATTTATTTATTTTTTTGGTTTTTCCCTAAGCTTTTAAAAACTACTAGAAATTTATTACTTATGAGTTTATGACTCTTCCCCCCTAAAGTACCAGGAAAGATGCTAAAGTAGAAAATTGAAGAATTTTTACTGACCGAAAAGGCGAAGACAGACAAAATTGTAAATTTGTAATTATTGTAAAATTGTTACAAATCATTTTAAAATGATCGCTCCTCTCAGAATCTATGAAATCGAAACACACTATCATGTTTCAACTTAAATCATGTAAGAAACTGATAAAGAAAATGCATGGTATTTTTTTTTCATATTTTAAATTTTGGTTTAATCTATCAACATTTCTTCTTTATTGGATGGATTATGTTAGTTTATCATATTTCCTGTGTTTATCAATAAATAATTTTTATAGACGCGTAGGTAGTAAAAAAAAATTCCCATGATTTTTTTTTCAAATATCACTAAACAACTAATTTAGATACTTTTTTAGCATTGAGTTAAAATTCACCATTTCCGGGCCAACATTAATACTTTTTTCCGATTTCCGATCAAATAATATTTTATAAATACTTCCGTCAATTTTTAGAGGTCACAACTCAAGCATATCAACCCCTCTAAAGGCATTAATATATTAATTTATACTTCACAACTGCAGTAGTGCAGTTATTCATTCTTACTGTTGATAACTTTCTACTGTTAACACACTGACTGTATTATTGTTAAATAAACTACCATATAAATAATGATTATCATAAAAATGTTGATTATTATCAGATTTTTCTCTTGGTCTGCAGGTAAATCACCAATTCTGTTTAGACCAAACTTAATACCTTTGGTAAATTAATAATCTGCTTGATTTATTTAACATATTACATAATCTTTTCGATGATATGATGAGAATAATTTATTTAAGTAGCTATGTATACTAATCATATTACAGGGAGAATATCGTACATTAGTTGATAGAATGTATCCTTGTGAATCTACAAGAAACCATTCGCTCAAATTTAATTTTTATTTAAGTAGAAAGACAGCAAGTATAACTGAGTTGAAAGGGAATATAACGTTTTTGATTCCTTTTGACGATACAATTGCATATACGGTAAGTAGTTATTGAATGATTTGTATAATTTTGAAGTTAATAATTGATAAAAAAAACAATTCATGTTTAATAAGGTACTTGGTTTGTAAATTTTAGGGGTTTATCTTGCAATCAACGAATATATTTTTATTTCATTTTTTTGTAGTTCGATGTAAACTGTATGTCTTGGGGTTCAACTGGGGGATGGATACCAAATTCATATGTTTATATAAGAAAACGTGGGTGTAGTTCGATGAAATATTTACTAGGAAACACATGGTATTCATTGTTGAATGGTTTTAATGTCCCCATCACTAACTGCCCAGTACCAGAGGTAAAGTATTAAAAACTATTATTTTATTTTGACTAATATTAAGCCACCATCAGACTTTATTATATAATATTATATATAAACCCATATGAGTTGTCTCATTGCATAGTAATTACTAATTATAATATTAATAACAATGATCTACATAGATTAATTCTTCGGCCATTGGCGCTAGTGTTTATGTAAAACAAAGGAAGTCATTGCCCTGCTGTAAGAATGGTTGTTGGTTACCAGCGTATCACGTCATTAAGTTGATAACTGAACTAAGTATCTGTTAATATGATTTTTTTTAATTATTTGGTAATTATAAATATTTTCATTTGAATCGGAAATGGGAAATGATTTGAGGGACTCAATTTTTTATTATACAACATACAATACCTACGTATTGCATTAGAGATTTATTATTCAATTGGTTTAATCTGGTAAGAGACTAATTTTTAGTATGTAGGTACGTCATATAATTATATCATTTATTATAGCTATTATAGCTTACAATACGAAAGCACCGACATACCGCACTGTTGTGTGCGTAATTCTAAACGTTTCAAACGGCGTAAGCTTTTGAGACGAAATGCAACAAGTCCCAAGTGAACCAAAGAATCACGTTTATTAGGATAAAAAACAGCATGTGTGTGCGTGACGAGAAGTAGCTCGGGTCTTCGTGGCTATGATACATCTGCCCAGGCTGCTCTACTTGCTCGCTTATGAGTGGTATCGGGTCCTTCGATGTAGCGCCTCGTGCGGCTAGCAGGTGTGGTGTTGTTTTCGGTTGTTATCGCCAATTTCTAGAAAAGCAGCTAGTCTTCACGATTTCTAATCGTGTACCTGTCCGATGATTTATTACATAGTGAGAGGCTTACCGTTATTAGTATTTAGTGTATTAGTTGTTTTTAGAATGATTTGTGCCGACGGTCTTTTACATTGAGAAAGGTTAATATATTCTTACGCTATTTTGTAAGGACCGATAATAGGTAGGTTTCGATAGGTTTCGATAATAGTTTATACATTGTGTGAGGTCGATGTATTCTATATTATATTAAATGTTAAATATTATATGCGGGGATTCCAAGGCCCGCAACAGCACAGAATTTTTTCAAAGTAAATTTAAGTAGCTTACAATAACTATTTGTCCATATTTTTAATACATAGAACTTATAGGTAAGTATGTCATAAGATACATCTTAAATTCAAAAAAATATTTACTTCAAACAATACTTAAATTACAATAGGTCAACATCTCGTGAATTGGTAAATAGAGTACATTACGTAATTACGTAGGTACCTAAAAAATAAAATTGACTACCTACACTATACTTATGTGTGCCTTCACCGTCAAATTGTTATGTAATTGTGCCAATTTATGGTTTCATTTTTACAGGGAACATATATTACATCAGGAATTAACTTGAAGAATTTAGTTGATGGAAACTTACCCAAAGTGTATTTTTATGGAAAATATAAAATCGTGATAAAGTTGAAAAATATAGAAAATAAAGTACTTGGCTGCTTCGCATTCGATTCGAATCTTATACGACCGTGGGAAGAACCAATTTGATTAAATTATGTACAAAATAATAATGTATGTTTTTGACTTATTACAAAACAATTAACTACAAGTTAGGTACCTCAGCTCAGTATATCAAATTTAGGATAAGGATTTAAAAAAAATAATTGACTTGAAGTTAAGAAATAAAAAAATCATACAAACCTATTTATTTTATTTTTGAACTATTATCTATCATTTAAAATTACATCGCACACCACACCACACGCTTATGTGTTGAGTTGGTTGTACGAAAGCTTAACGTCATACATTTATATTCAGATTTAGAAGTTCAAATTTAGTATCGTTAGTTTTCACATTTTAGTGAATTGAAATAATGACATCCTACTAAATTTGAATATAACAACATTTAAATAAATATACCTATTTTAAGTTTTTAGTTGCACAATTTCTTAAAATATACTCTCTAGTCTCCCACCATTTTTTATTGCACAAACGATTTTTATTCCTTTAATATATTTTTAAACTGCTATTAGTAATTTATGTTATTGTCGATAACACGATAGGCTACTATGACTAACTTATAACTATTATAATTAACCTTGTATTACATTTTAAGGTTTTATATTATATTAAGATAAAAACTAATAAAATAATTTGCAAAACCTTGTGATTTTGGAAAATATTGTAAAAATGTTCACTTCAAACACTTATAAAAATCGAATTCCTATAAGAAAACCTTAACCTTACATTTAGACTTAAAAGATATCTAATTATAAAATGACTTTGTGTACTTAGGAAATGGTAATTTAATTTGAGTTATAATGAAATAGCACATGCTAATAAGCAGGGCTCGAGACTTATAGCGCTAAAAAATCATGAAATATGCGCTATTATATGCACCGAAAAAATGTAAAATATGCGCTAAAAATATGAAAATATGCTTTAAAAATTATTTATTTAAAATTTTTATTTAGACATTTATGCATTTATAATTATTAAAATTTAAAGAAAAATGTTTATATCATTTTACAGTTTTAATTTTCTACAAATAATGACGAAAAACTCTTTCCCGTTCTCATTAATTTGTATGCGTCGAATTTTGTCAATCTGTAAAATATAATTATTTCAAATCAATAAATCATTAAAAAGTAACTTACAGTTTGTACCTTCATAATTGCACTGTATTATTATGTGTTTCCGAATATTTTCAAACTTGAAAGATCTTCTGTTATTACTTAATAATGTTTTGTACACGGAAAATGAGCGCTCTACATCGACCGATGTGATGGGAGCGTACTTGAAGTAAGGAATATCACGACTAGAAATGTCTTCTAGAAACCCGCGCGTTTAATCCTTCAATTATTAGTAATAAGGTTAGTATTTTTTGAATAACAAAAAAAGATCGAAAATCTTTATTCTATGCCTGAATGTCAATAAAAAATGTCCCAACACATGCTATTGTTTTAAATATAAATAATAATTTTTTCTACTTCCTTTAACCTACTCGAATATTCGATAGCACTACATGAACATTTCTAGTCTTGTGGTACCCAATAGGATAAATTCTTAGTCTTTAGTGTCGTGCTAAACTTTCAGAATAAATCATTAATAAAATATTTAAAAATCAAGCAGATTATTAATTTTTCAAGAGTAAGTCAGGCGTATAACGGTTTTGTGACTTGGGAAATGAGAAAAATGCAATAATTTTGATGAATTTTTTTTCAAACATAATTTATTTCAACAGTAATAGAGTTTTTATTAGTTGTAAACGACAAAAATATTTCTCAGCCATGAATCATAAATTAATGTATTCGGCAATTAAAGGGATCGACATGATTAAGCTTGATGTAATCTCTAAAAACTGACTAAAGTATTTAATATAGTATAATATTTTATAATAAATCGGAAAACGTAATAATGTATCTAGGTCCGGAAATCATTGCATCAGAGAAATGTTTCGTGGTTTCGTCCTATGAAAAGTATGAATTACAAAATTGTATAAAATCTTTTTAACGTGCCAACAACAAGCTGCCCATTATCAGTGGTACCTAAATTAATTGTATAAGAACAGTTAATTGATTTTATAATAAGAATGGATATATCTAATCGTAGATCCTACTTCAGGCAGTCATGAATAATTTTTGCAGAATTTATTACTCTCGATTTTTTTTTTTTTATTCCAGCAATAACAACTAATATGAAGAACATTGTATTAAATTTAACATCATTATAAAATCAATACATTCGGCGACCCATTCAGAATCTAAAATGTATAATATTTCAAATCACAATAATTATTTACCTAGTTGTTACACATTCGTTTGATTAAATATATTTCATTTTATAATTTTCATTTTCATTTGGAAGGTGTTCATGTTTAAGGTCAATGTTAATATTTGTTGTTTGTTGAATGTAGTCTTTAAAATGCATGGATATTTGTAATATTTTTTCCAGTATTTCAATCGTATCAGTTGTAATCAAATTTTGTAAACGACATACATACAGAAGTCATTCTAAAGATATCTTTTCTTTGACCTGACTCTCAAAAATATCTATACTTAATTAATTGTTAATACAAACAAATTAAAAAAGATATAAAAATCGGACAGAAACGAACGTCTTGACGAAAACACACAACTGAACATAATAAATGTAATAAATGGCATATGACCACATCAATAATATCATAATATTTAAGGTGAAACTATACCTGCAGTTATAAAGTTAATATAATAGGTTTTATTATGTTTGCATAGTTTTTGTAAAATATCAGTATACATTATGTGTAGTATTGTATATTATATATTTATTTGTAAGCCATAAAGTGTTAAAAAGTTTGAGTCAAGTTGATTTGAATTTTTTTTTAATTTCATTTTCACCATCATAATTTCTGACTTATTTGATTTTTATTGATATAAGCTTAATAAATAACGAGTTACCTACTTTTAATTAAATTCAACCTACGTTAATTTTTAAATAATTGAATAGTAAATATAGGGAAGATTATTTTTGATGATGCTTATTTCATAAACATTTAATTTTTATTATTTTCAACCATATTACTGGCTATTTATGTATTAAAAAATATCGGCATCTTTCTAACTCGCTTTGTGATCTAATTCGACAGAGATGGGAATTACACCTGGGGTAAATTTTCAAACGTAGTTCGAACTACTTTCCAAACTTTTCTGATATCTCTAAGAACGATCTCTGAAACTTTCGTCAGAAACGGTCGAGTATTTTTTTTTAATCTATGTAAGCTATACAAGCATAAAGGCATTTAATTTTGTTTTGCATTTGAATAACAAACAATAAATAAAATATTATTTTCTTTAAATAAAAAAATCCAATAGAGACGCTTGGAGAGTCGGTTAGTCTATCTACTGACCAATCTTCATGTTTTTTTTATATATTTTATTTGCGTAACAAATACCAATGATGTGTCCATAACATATCTAACAGTACCTACTATCCATATTCCATATTATATCAACAACAAAATATTCAATTTTCGTGAGCTGAAACGAATTGCATGCATACATTTTATTGAAATCGGTCTAGTAGTTTCTGAAATGAGCTCGTTCAAACATGTAAAATGTTCAGCTTTTTATATTAGTATAGATTGTATTTGAAAATATGAACTATGTATACGCCACATGTAAAATAGTGGCGAGTCCCGACTCCAGATCTTTTTTTTTTTAATATTAAAAACTATAGTTGGCAATTTTTTTTTTGATATAGTTATTTTAACATAATAATTATGTTTCATAGGGTTATTTTTTAGTGAAGGCTAAGCTCACGTTTACATGTTTTAATTGTTGTTGTTTTTATTTTAACTATTCATTTGACACCTAGTATAGCGGTTTATAAGGCTCCACGGGGTTGCAGGGTATGAGTCCTCGTGGGTGACCATAATCGTCTATTTTGTTCAATATTTGGTTAGGTTATTAATATATTTATATATTTGGTTTATTTTGTCCACTGTTACTGCCTATATGGCTATATAGTCCGATACCATATAATATATAAAATTAATAATTGGGTTGAATATAAAATGTCTCTCAGACTCAGATACACACACACACACACACACACACACACACACACACACACACCAGCGCATAGTTATTATGTGCCCTTACTCCGGTGAATGAGGTATAATATATTGGAGCATAATAATATGAACTCATGTGTATATACGACTTAATACGCCGTATTCGCTATAATCTCGCGTGTATCGTGCGGCTGCAAAGCATTATTATTATCGTCAGTAGTAGTAGTAGTAGTAGTATAGTTGTAGTGGTAGTAGTAGTGCCCATTATTGGCGTTAAAAAAAAATAAAATAAATAGTGCCTAGGTAACCCCGCCCGCCATCCGTCCCGCGATAATTACATTTCGCAGTCGTATTAGCGCTCGCACTTTGATCCCGGCCGGTTAAAAAGGTATTATGTGCGTTTACATATTTCAGCGTCGGTGGGAGTAAAAAAAAAAATTAAAAAAAAAAAAAAACGTCAATGATATTTTAACGCCACCGCCGTAAATTACAAATTAGCGACGTATCGGTGGCGGCGTACATATAATATATCGCAAAAATCGAGTGCGCTTTTTTTTCGCCCAGTATAATAATAATTATTTGTCTCCCAGCGGACGCGGCGCTAGTTTTTTTTTTTCGGTCGTTTCTCTCGATCGCGTTTCACCTCGCAGCGGCTCGTTCTACGATTCGACCAGCATTACACATGCCATAAAGTTGCGCTACTGCTACAACTGCGTGATAAACACGCAATCACAATAATAAACAAAATAGGAATCGCAAAACGGGATGAATAGAAATGAGTTCGTGAAAGTAATTATAATACGATTCGAGCCAGAGGATTATTACCAGTCCAAAATATTTTGCCGACTCGTGCAGAATATTAAAAAAATCCGAGTGTGTTATTAATTATTATTGTAATATAATGCGGTAATTATAATAATAATATTACATGGGAATTACATATCCCAATGACGAGCATTTCTTATTAAATAATAGTTGTGAATATCTAAATTGC